GAACCGAGGATGGGGTAACGCACACAACTCACACTGACCCCTACTAAAGCCCAACGAGGATCGGGGGCTCAAGACATGAAAAGCCTAGGTCTGCGACCCCGAACTCGCCCCTTCCGACTGCGCTCCAAGGACACCTGGGTCTGCGACCCCGATCTCGCCCCATCCGGCTATGCTTTCGACTATGCTCCAAGGACACCTGGGTCTGCGACCCTCATCTCGCCCCATTCGGCTACGCATCCGACTGCGCTCCAAAGACACCTGGGTCTACGACCCCGATCTTGCCCCATCCGGCTATGCTTCCGACTGCGCACCAAACACCCGGATCCATGACCCCGATCTCGCCCCGCGATTCCGACTCACCCGATCCCACGACACGCACCGACGCCAGGATTAGTAAGCTCTGTCTCGTCCAAACTAACTACCTCACCTGATCCCACGGCGCGCATCGACGCCAGGATTCGTGAGCTCCCTCTCACCCAATCTCTCGAGCGACTAAAAACACCTCGGCTGCACAACGACGCCTTGGTTGACAAAACTCCATCTCAAACTAAAAAACATGCACACAAGCCCACTAACCAAACATGCCCCAGATGGTTCGCGCCGAACCGCCTGGGCTCAGGGAGCTCACTGCTGGAAAGCGCGCTTCATGCGCACCGCCGGAAAAAACAAAATCCCCAGATGATTCTGCCTAAATCGCCCGGAGGATCGGGGGCTCCTGTCGGGTTCATAAACCCCTCAGGGACCGGGATTCCGCTCAATCACACCCGTTAGCGAGCTCACTGAGCGCGTCACTCGAGCCCAAGCGATCGGGACAAGCGACAAAACTCGACCCCTCTGGTTGTGAGGAACCAAGGATGGGGTAACGCACATAACTCACATTGACCCCTACTAAAGCCTAACGAGGCTCGGGGGCTCAAGACATGAAAAGCCTAGGTCTGCGACTTTAACTCGCCCCTTCCGATCAAGGCCTCCAGGACACACTGGTCTCTGCGACCCCGATCCGCCCCATCCGGCTATGCTTCCGATCGTGCTCCAAGGACACTGGGTCGCGACCCGATCTCGCCCCCATTCGCTACGATCCGATCAAGGCCCAAAGACACTGGGTCTACAACCCCGATATTGCTCCATCCGGCTATGCTTCCGACTGCGCTCCAAACACCCGGATCCACGACCCCGATCTCGCCCCGTGATTCCGACTCACCCGATCCCACGGCACGCACCGACGCCAGGATCAGTAAGCTCTGTCTCATCCAAACTAACTACCTCACCAGATCCCACGGCGCGCACCGACGCCAGGATTCATGAGCTCCCTCTCACCCAATCTCTCGAGCGACTAAAAACACCTCCGCTGCACAACGACGCCTTGGTTGATAAAACTTCGTCTCAAACTAAAAAACACGCACACACGCCCGCTAACCGAACATCCCCCAGATGGTTCTGCCCGAACCGCCCGGGGGCTACACCCGCGGGCGCGCTCGTGCGCACCCGCCGTGAAAACAAAAATCCCCCGGATGATTCTGCCTGAATCGCCCGGAGGCTCGGGGGCTCCTGTCGGGTTCATAAACCCCTCAGGGACCGGCTTCCACGCCAAGGCTCGGCCTAGGAGTCTAAAACAACAGGCCAGAGGGGCGGCCCAGTCACCGACCGAAAGGTCTGGCCAAAGAGAAACAGCGCCCGCTCATCGACTACTTCGGCCCACCTCTCCGATCGGAGCACTCGTTTCGGACTCTAGTCGCCTCCGTACAACCTCTCTGATCGGAAGGCCTAGCCCAAATGCTACTTCCGGCTCCGACCCCGCGTCTTCGACCGAGGTTTGCAGAAACCCTGCTCACCGCTCTTCTCCGACTGGCGCGACCAGAGCCGATTGGGGCCATTCGACCGGGGACGCCCGCTCGGAATGAACCAGGGGACAAATGGAGAAAGCAAAGCCAGGGCGCACAAGTCAAACCATGGTACCCAAGACTGTACCCTATACGCCTGCAAGAACAGTACTCTGCAACCGCCCTGACACAAACAATATTGTAGGCGCCGATATTTCCTCTACAGTATTGTGGGTGCCGTTAAACTCCCATATGGTAAGGCCCCCCACGTGCCTCTAGGCATCAATAGTGTTGTGGGCACCGGGATTTATCATACCAGGTGAACATGGTGCAGCTCCTCGCATGCTTCTGGGCATCGAACAGTATTTTGCAGGTACCGACGTCTACCCTTCCTGAAGAAGGCAACGTAAGCTCCCACATGCATCTGACATTCTACAGTGACACTAACAGTGTTGTGGGCACCAACAATGTTGTGGGCACCTACCATTATCTTGTACCCACCAGCATAGGCAACAAGGCTTAGAAGCAAGCGTACTCTCTCCCTCTCACTTGTAAAGCCATCCCCTTCATCTATAAAAGGGGATGCACTCCCTTCAACATAACTCAGTCTTTTTAGATTCATCAGATCGACCAAGTTCACTAGCTCACAACCACAGAACCGCCAAGTTCGGACCTCAAGCACACGCTTGAACACTTAGCTCGTAGTAGAGCTCCTGTCGCTCTCGACCCTTCTGACCGGAGCCCGACCGAACCTTTTGCTCCCCCCTCCTTTCTCCTTCTCGTTTGTAACCCCACTGCAAACTTCGAGCACTTGGGCTCAGGAATAAAGTCACCGACCGACTCAAACAGGACGTAGGGCACGTTGCCTGATCCAGTATAATCCTTGTGTCATTGAGTGCTAGGCCACCTCCGATCACAACGTACGGCAAAACTACAAATATTCACTAGTTGGTCACATTCTGCACCGACACCAACCATTTCACAAGTTACATGACATGGGCAGACCAGCAAAGGACTCGATAATTTTGTAAACAAAAATCCAAGTTGGTTACATACACTTGTTTGCAAGTAATAAATCATATCAGAATATAAATCCTCTAGGACCTTTAGACGCAGGCGTTTGCTGCAAGCCTTAGACTCGGGCGTTTGCTGCAACTTGCAGCAGTTACTTGTAATCTGCAACATCTATTTCGCAATATATTTGAGTAATGGATTCACCTAGCTATAGCAGTTGACATGGAAGGAGGCGGCGTGCGAGCATCTCACATCTGGCGGATCCGATGGTGCCAGTCGACGAAGATCAAGGAGGACATGCCGGTGAGCCTGCGTAACAAGGTCGCCTGCCCGCCAGTGGATCCGGCCGCCCACGCACTCCGAGGTTGGAGGTCCCGGCCGCTCGCGTGCCTCGGTGAGGGATGATGAAGGTGTTGAAGTCGGGGTCAGCGAGGTTGATGATAGAGATTTGCACGTTGAGGATGACCTTCTCGTCTAGGTGACAAGGCACGGTCCTCCATGCTCGCTAGCCCCGGTGTGCTCGGCCTCGATGCAAATCACACAGGGCACAGATGAGGCCGCGTTGGGGATGACCTCCTGCGCCACCGGATCTGCCAGCTCTGGATCTCGCAGAGTGGAGGGAGGTGATGGCTGCAGTAGAGAGGAGAGAGGCAGCACAGTGTGTGCGGCCCGTGGGGTAATGCGGGAGCCGGGCCTCCGTGGTGGCGCAGTTGCCGTGAGCGTGGAGAGGCCTAGATCCGGTGCCAGTCGGAGTATATCGGGCCCTGGTGGAGTTCGATCTACATCAGAGACGATGGGCACGCTAGAGCTGGGCGACGACGCCCGAGTCACCTCCCAAGCCTCTATACGGAATAGATAGACGAATGGAAAGAGAGAGAAGGGGGAAAGGACGTGAGAGAAAGAGAGAGAGAGAGAGAGTCGCGGAGGAGAGGAGCTCTCGCGGGCAGGGCGACGGCGGTGATAAACAAATTGCGGGACCTCGCGCTCCAGCGACCAGTGGCGGAGCTAGAGCAAAATCAAGGGAGGTGCGCTGGCCTCGTGGGTGCATAGATTTTTACCATATGGGTGTATATATGGTGAAAAACTGAACATAATCACTGTTTTCTGATTTTTTGTGGGTGCGGCCGCACCCCCTACCATGAACATAGATCCGCCCCTGCCAGCGACGGCGGCCAGCAGGGAGGTGAGCGCAGCGAGCACTGTGGTGCGGCGGCGGCGGCGGGGAGAGAAAGAGGAGAGAGAGGGAGAGATCAGATATGAGAAGGGCATTGCGCTAGGGTTGGAGACTTGGGGTACGCCTCTGTGGGAGGGTTTCTCTGCAAAATGTCAAGGGGATTTTCTGCAAAATGGTTAGGCTATCGAATTGACGTTTACTGTTTAAGGGGACAAGGTGGGTGGCGGGTTGACTATCTAAAAGCTAAATGGTCTTTTGCAAAATATACGAAGACACGTGTCGCCGCGACGAGGAGCCACCGGTGCTCCGAACTCTCTCGTGCCTGCGAAGAGGAGTGGGTTTTAATCGACCCCGATTTCGCTTTGTCTGCTGCTGCTGGATTCTGGACGCCGCATCACCAAAAAGTCTAGCTACCAATAAGAAGATTCTGATCCTTGGGTGATCCCACGGGATAAGGCCAAGCCCACCAAGGTCATATTCCTCTTCCGGTGATGCGGCGACGAGGAATCCATTTCTTTCCTAACAATATACTACTAATCTCCAGGCATTCTCTCTGCTAATTATCTATGCCAGATAACGACTTCCCACATCTCTTTGATTTGCCTGTTCCAGTTCCAGCTTTCAACGTGTTTCCTCTTCCAGCAATCCAGCTAGCCAATCTTAGATTAACGCTGCACTGATGACTCCGTCAGATCCAATAATTGCCTTGTTAATTCAGCTCAGCTGAGCTTGAAGCTTATTGATATGACCCTTCATGTCCATGACCGGCACAGCAGCTTAATCTTTCTTTCTTTTTTCGTTTTTCCTTTTCCCAGGCCAGGCTCGAGAGTGATCGAGATGCCCAAAATGTCAACCATGCACCCCACCCCAGCTCACTATAAATACGTACCCCAACGATGCTCATCCTCAACCTCAAGCACAAGCAGCTACCTAGCTCCAGTAAGCAACAACCAAACTGCTCTAGCTCTACTGCAGGATCAAAAGCACTAGCAATGGCGTCGGGCATGGAGGCCGTTGGCGCGCCTGGGAGCTCGCTGCACGGGATGACGGGTCGGGAGCCGGCGTTCGCCTTCTCCACGGCGGCGCCAGAGGAGCACGACGACGCTGTGGCGAGCAAGTTCGACCTGCCTGTGGACTCGGAGCACAAGGCGAAGAGCATCCGTCTCTTCTCGTTCGCGAACCCGCACATGCGCACCTTCCACCTCTCCTGGATCTCCTTCTTCACCTGCTTCGTCTCCACCTTCGCCGCGGCGCCCCTCGTCCCCATCATCCGCGACAACCTCAACCTCACCAAGGCCGACATCGGCAACGCCGGGGTGGCGTCAGTGTCGGGCTCCATCTTCTCCCGTCTCGCCATGGGCGCCGTCTGCGACCTGCTGGGCCCGCGCTACGGCTGCGCCTTCCTCATCATGCTGTCGGCGCCCACCGTGTTCTGCATGTCGCTCATCGACGACGCCGCGGGCTACATCGTCGTCCGGTTCCTCATCGGCTTCTCCCCTCGCCACCTTCGTCTCCTGCCAGTACTGGATGAGCACCATGTTCAGCAGCAAGATCATCGGCACCGTCAACGGGCTCGCCGCGGGCTGGGGCAACATGGGCGGCGGCGCCACGCAGCTCATCATGCCGCTGGTGTACGACGCCATCCGCAAGTGCGGCGCCACACCATTCACGGCGTGGCGGCTCGCCTACTTCGTCCCCGGGCTGATGCACGTCGTCATGGGCGTGCTGGTGCTCACGCTCGGACAGGACCTCCCCGATGGCAACCTCAGGACGCTGCAGAAGAAGGGCAACGTCAACAAGGACAAGTTCTCCAAGGTCATGTGGTACGCGGTCACCAACTACCGGACCTGGATCTTCGTCCTCCTCTACGGCTACAGCATGGGCGTCGAGCTCACCACCGACAACGTCATCGCCGAGTACATGTACGACCGCTTCGACCTCGACCTCCGCGTCGCCGGCACCATCGCCGCATGCTTCGGCATGGCCAACATCGTCGCGCGCCCCATGGGCGGCATCCTCTCCGACATGGGCGCGCGCTACTGGGGCATGCGCGCGCGCCTCTGGAACATCTGGATCCTCCAGACCGCCGGCGGCGCCTTCTGCCTCTGGCTCGGGCGCGCCAGCACCCTCCCCGTCTCCGTCGTCGCCATGGTGCTCTTCTCCTTCTGCGCGCAGGCGGCCTGTGGCGCCATGTTCGGCGTCATCCCCTTCGTCTCGCGGCGCTCCCTCGGCATCATCTCCGGCATGACCGGCGCCGGCGGCAACTTCGGCGCGGGGCTCACGCAGCTGCTCTTCTTCACCTCCTCCACCTACTCCACCGCCAGGGGGCTGGAGTACATGGGCATCATGATCATGGCGTGCACGCTGCCCGTGGTGTTCGTGCACTTCCCGCAGTGGGGGTCCATGTTCTTCCCGGCCAGCGCCACCGCCGACGAGGAGAGCTACTACGCCTCCGAGTGGAACGACGACGAGAAGAGCAAGGGACTCCACAGCGCCAGCCTCAAGTTCGCCGAGAACAGCTGCTCAGAGCGCGGCAAACGCAACGTCATACAGGCCGACGCTGCCGGTACGCCGGGGCACGTATAAGTTTAAGACGTACACGCTGGACCGGAGCACGTCTTTAAAACAATCAGACAAGTAAGGATGTGAGCTTAATCAAACCTTACTGTTGTACTACAGTTGCTGAGCTGCAGCTCAGTGAGAGGGTTTTCTTTTTTCTTGCAGCTAATTGTGTCTCAGATGTAATGTTGCTGAGATGGTTATTATATATATACATCTAAATGTACTTGAGCATCGTCTACAGACTCCAACCCCACTCTCTATCCTAAGCAAAATGTCTTAAAAACCATCTCTAACCCACTCGCTATTTTTGAGGGCTCCTGTCTATCGCCCCCTCACTTTGCACAAACTACTCATATGTCATAACTACTCACGCTCCATATCTAAACTATAGACACCTGATATGTGGGACCCATCCTATATCGTGAGCTTGGACTCTAAAAATGAGAGAGAGCATGAGATGGATGGCCGACAAGTGGAACTAGCAAAAAAAAAAAGTAGTGTATAAAGGGACTAATTAGAGAGTTAGGAGGGGTGCAGAAAATTTACGGTTTGTCGGTATTGCTGGCCATGCTCCATAAACAAACTCTTGGGATGATGTTGTTGTTTTTATTTTTACACGCAGAACTTCTTTCGTTATTGTCAAAGTGTCAATGTTAGCTTTAAATTGTTCATTTTTACTAGTATGAGAGTCTGGCGATGGTAACTTCCTCAAACGGACAAATCCAAGGGTAGCACACTAGATCTGTCATATAAACTACTTGAGCAAGTCTTGTACTCCTACGTACATTTTGTCTATGTACGCACATATTTATAGAAAATACAAATAGTTAACCGAATGAGAAAAACAACAACCTTGTCATATACATTTAAAACGGACAACAGCATTAAAGATGCTCTCATCACCAAGTCAAAATAAAACGGCTGAAATGGTCTTCTTATATCTACTCGGAATAGACCTCTGTAAGCGGCACCAAACTTTAATTTGTCTCTAGTAAAAATGCAACCCACATCCATGCGTACAGTACGTCAGCGCGCCTATCCGTACAAGAAGCTAAGCAATCGTGTGTCCGTGTTCGAATTTATATGCATGGGATTTATTTTATATGGACTTTAACCTATGTTTCGTTCGAGTCTGTCTACCTGACTGTCATGTGTTTTATACAGTTTTAACACATGACGGCACAAATCACAAATTAGATCAAATAATTTTTTTTCTATGAAAGGACAAAGACAAAATTTGGGTGACGGCGCCAGAGTTAGGGAAGAAAGCTTGCCAGAGTTGAGAAGATTCCAGGCGCGACGGCAGCGCGGGCACGGATCAGGCGCTGCGGAGGGGTGGCGGCGGAGGTTAGGCTTGGGGGCCACGGCGAAGGTCCGGCAGCGGGCCTCGGGTGCAGTGGCGGAGGTCTATAATTTCAGGTGTTCACTTAATAATTTTGTTAGACCTAGGTGTTTTTCTTCTAAAACTCCTGTGAAACTTAACTTTCAGCTTATCTTAGACTACCTGGCCAGACCTTAACTAATTAACACATTCTGTGACATATACATAATGGCAAAACCAAAATTCAGCTAAGTATAACTGTCGAGTACCAGAAGCATTCAAACAAAACTTTGAGATACCAACGATTGGAGGCAGCCCAAAGTCCATGGAAAAGTTGCATTATATTAAACAAACAGTGAAACAGCTTGGGAGGACAGCTCAGGATCTTGTTGGAACTGATCAATCCACAGACCACATCCTATCCAGTGGCTTATCAGTCATGACATGATTGAGCAACATGAAGAGCCAGATGAAATGTGCACTTGGAGATATTAATTGCCCGGCCCAATCAAATGACAACTAGTTTGAGGCTAGCAAGCAAACAAGACAGGCTGCAGTGGGTCAGATAGGCAAAGTCAAATGAACTATATATGGGGTGCATGAACAATAATAATACAAGATCATTGTATATATACCTGACAGGTGAGAGCGACACCAGTGATAAGTACATTTGTGTCGACATATATGTGTGTGTATACCTAGCTTGCAGATAAGTATAAGTGGACATCAACAATGCCATACTGGAGGTCGTGCATGGTAAAGAATCAGCTGGGAGAAACATTATGACGAATTCAAAGGTACATTTAGATATTTTTAATGAAAATCATCAATTAATTGGGCTCGTACCCTAAGTGTGTGCTCTTGGATCACTTGAACAAGAAAAAACTTTCTTGAAAGTGTCAAGGACAAATTAAATGGGGAATGAAACGTTGGAATGCAAGCAAATATTACGTGACGGTGGAGAGATGGAGAGGCGGCGACGGGGACGGGCGGCGCACGGCAGTGGGGGGATGGAGGGGCGGCAGCGGCAGTAAGGGAGACAATGAGACAGGGGGAGATGGAGATGGAGTCAGGGAGGACTGGCACACGGCGGTGGGCGCGGTGGCTGGGGTCGCGGTGGGCGGGAGCGCCGGGCGGGGCGCATCTGGCGCAGGCGCGCTGGGCGGTGCGCGACGGGCGTGGTGGCCGTGGGCTCGCCGTTCGGGCGCGGCATGGTGGCGGCGTGGCGGGCAGGAGCGTCGGGCGTGGGCGCCGCGGGCTCACCGGACGGGGGCGGCTGCGGCGGGCGCGAGTGGTGGCGGGCGCGGGCTCGCCCGGCGTGGTGGTGGCGTGGCGGCGGGCGCAGGGCGGCTCATGGCGTGGCTCCTCTCTCCAGCCGGTTCAAACGGGCCGAGTGAGACAGAGAGAAAGGGAAGCGAGGCCGGGTACATGGGGCTGCCGCGCCCTGATGCATCAGCCCCGCGCCGTTTATGGTGTGATAATCTTGGCGCAAAGTACCTATCGGCTAACCCTATATTTCATGCACGCACCAAGCATATAGAGATCGATTTTCATTTTGTACGCGAACAAGTTGCAGCAAAGCGCCTGGATATCAGATTCATCAGCACTACGGATCAGATCGCCGATGGCTTCACTAAGCCTCTTCCAGAGAAGCAAATGGTCATATTCAGAGACAATCTCAACCTCGCTGATAAGTTGTGATTGAGGGGGATGTTAAGAATATCCAATAGGATCACATGACCGCAATATCTGGTTGATTGATATCTCCTGAAGATTGGTTGTGCGCTCAGGTTTGGATTGCGGGTGAAGGCAAGTATCATGACTTCGGTTAGATAGGATAGGTATCTCCTGATTGATGTAATCTTGTGATGTAATCTAGAGTTACCAAAAGTAGTTAGCTTCTTCTTATTGTACAAGTTGTACCGCCACGTCAGGAGCTCTTCCTGGCTATATTAACACGAAACCGTGAGCCTGAGAGGGCATCACGTTCCAACCATTTTCACAGGCATCAGAGGATGGATGCACAATAAATAGTTGCATACGCATCTTGTGTTCACTGCTGCGTGTGAACAATCGGCCGGAGGGACGACAACAAATCGACATATATTCTCCAACTTGCATTTTTGTGTTTGCATTGATTGTGAAAAATCGATCGGGAGCGACGACGACATCATGTCTAAGGGGGTGGGGTCAATTAAACGAATGCAGAAGTCGTTTATTTGCAGCTCTGCTGGCTCTTGCAGTTTTTTACAGCCAGACGTGATGGTAATCGTGCTCCATGCTGACGACGACGACCATCAGCACTATGAAGCTCCAGCGTTCGGTCTACGGATGATAGCGACACAAACACCGGAGGAGGGCCGGGGACGACCCCACACACAGGAAGGAAAACCACTGAAAGTTTTAAAACTTTACGTTGAATTTTGAGTAAAGATTGAAAATCCGTACGAATCTCATCCGGCCGGTTAAAACGAAATTACCGATGTGGATATTTACCGGATGGAGATCACCGGTAGGATCGAAAACCATCGTGAAATTCCAAACTATAATGTCATGGCTTGCTCGATCTGTAGCTGCCGACTTCCGTAGTGATGTGACCCTTTGAACTTATCAGGGTTGTCAAACGCCGTTTTATAAGATAAGCTAACTATATATGATGATCAATACTGTCGAAAAAGTGCATGCACTATGTACTTACATAATTATATAGTGCTACTTCTAAATGATGATCCTTTCCTTGATTCATTCTTGGTTCGATCGTCTACAAATTAACAAGCTGTTGCTTTCAAGGCCATTTGACGATTCAACCAATTAATTAAAGATGTAATGCATGTTTCATAATTATCCTGTTTAGCAGCTGTTTGTGTTGTTACATATGATACATCTATCCAAACTAGTTCGTCCAAGTTTCACAAACCTTCTTTTTCTAATAAAATTTTGCAAATAAACTTGGTTGACAGGCAGGTGTACGTACGTATATGTACTTTTTCTTTACTTATTACAAGTTGGTAGTAGTGTACAGTCAGACCTTGCTAAGTTGCCGACAGGGCCACCGTTGCTGACTGTGAAATTTGTAAATTCTTTGCTGATATATATCCCATTCTCCCTACGACAGACATACAAATGATGTCCAAGTTCCTACAAATACTCACTAGTGACGGATTATGTTTTTTGTCTCTGAAAAAAAAAGATTTTTGCCGTTGGTTTTGTGGCTAAGAACCATCAGTAGTAATCAAATTAATGCATGGAAACTGCAAATTTAGGTTCCTAAACTTTTTAAATACCCCAATCCTAGTCTAAAGCATCCATATAGCGGCAAAAATTGGTTGACATATATGGCGTTCCGGCGTGTAATTAACCTATATGTGCATCCATAACCTATAATTACACTGTCAGTCCCTACTACTATGACGTGATTCTCGTAGAAGAGTACCTAGGTACATGATGACTCAGAATGACAGCAATTCATTCTGGGCAGCTTATATGGATCGACACTGTCTCAGGTTGCTTCCTGTATATTGTTGACGAGCTGTATTAGCTCATTTTAGACGGTGTGCATGGATGCAAGTTGTTCTTGGTGTCCAACTGTCCATGCAACAGACACGCTGAAGAACCTCATTAGGCAACGGTGAAAGGGTGTCTTCTGGCTTTTGGATGGAGGCAGCCGCAATTTCTTATCCTTTTGGCTTTTGTCATCGTTATT